ATATTTGCTAAAGATGTTCTTAGCGTAAAAAAATTAAAACTAAAGCTGCCACCACATCTAAGAACTGGTAAGCTGCAATATATTACATTTATGTTTTTAAGTTTAGTAATCCTTTAAGAAGAGCAAGGAAGTTGTCACTTAGCATTAATTTTACCAACTCATTCCACACCTTATATGAGGCCAACTATCCTCCAGTGTTTACAAGACTGCAAATGCTACTAATGACTTGGAACATTTATCCCTTATCATGGCTGGGCTGGCTCCCTGCAGTCAAAATGACCTGTTTACCAAACTCTCAGAGTTCCTCTGAACATTCTCCGTATCCAACAATGTCGAGTTCTGCATAATATTTGGCAACATCGTAGACCCAGATTTGTCTTAAACTCTCTATACCAACCCAGAACACAGGGTGACCTGTTCTGCATTTACAAAAATAATATCAGGCTTCCCAAATAGCCCAACTAACCAAATATCATGAGTATTATCAAAGAAAAGAAAAGGCTCTAGGGGCAATAGGGAATCATGGGGCCCCTGTGTCCTTGCCCAAACTCAAAAAAGCCTATGAAAAAGGTACCAGGGGCATCTCATGGGGCCCCCTACTGATCCCGGGCCCTCGGGCAGTGCCCGAGTTTCCAAATGGTCAGTTTGCCCCTGCTTAGGGTATATTCACACCAGATGCAGTGGGGCAGCTATTCCAGCTCAGTCCCACCGCATAACAAGGCAAAATACCTGGTCTCTGATAGGTCCAATTCAGTGCATTTGTGCATGCAGTAGTTTTTTTTTTTTCAGCGCAGTGCAAAGCTGTCCACCATCTTGTACTGTGCAGTAGCCAATTGAACTTTATGAAATGTTTGTGTTACATTTCAACAACATTTAACAAAAAAAAGTGAATATATATTGTGCTGATACCGCACGGCACGCCGGCAGCTACGTTGTAATGCAGTGACTGGTGTGAATAGACTCTTAGCTGACAGGGCAGCAGCTGGGAGTAAACACATGCTGCAGCTGCGATGCTCTGTACTGCAACCTCCCCGCAACTGCATGCAATGGGTTGCAGCATTTATGGGAATAAACCTCCCGTCAAATGCCTCTGAAGAGTAATCTGTGAGTGGATTGCTTTTCAGAGGAGCAGCAGTCTAAAGCAGAGGGAGGAACATATGAACAGTATGTCTAAAGTATTTCCTGCTCTCTTTGTGTAATCCAACTTCCAGCCTGCACATACACAGCAAGTCCTTTTAGTGCTGCATGTGCATATGGGGGGGGGGGGGGGGGAGTATAGGCAAGGCAGACACTGCAGGGATAGAATGGGAGCAAGGCAGATTCAGCCTGCTCCATTCTATTCATCCAGCACACTGTACTGAGCACTGCTGATCCTGTGTCTTTATCTCACTGGCAGGGCTGGTGAGAGTGAGACACTGAGTAACATGATCAGCAGTGCCCCCCCCAGCCTGAAACTGTGGAAGTGACAGGGAGATGCTGCTGCACTGCTGACAAGCTATGGATTCCTCTGTGTGCAGTGTGTGAGAGGGCACAGTGCACCCCACCCACAATGATGTGTCACTGGAATCTGGGGGGGTGGAACAAAGCCCACCCTGGCACCCCTCTAAATCCAGCCATGCTAAAATGTATCCTAATAATGGAAATACATGATTGCATACCATTTACAGAGGAGTGCTGGGGAAAATGAAGCAGTATTAAGCCCAAAAGTCATTATTATATTGCAGCTAACCAATTCTTAGATGTGATGGCTGCATTTGTTTTCTTTTTTTAGGCTTTCTTCCTTCTATTTTTACTCTGGTCAGTAAGAGAACAAACTCTCTTGCAGCTGTATCATTTACAGGGATGGGACAAACCATTCAAAGCTGGCGGGGGAGCTTACAATGATCAGTTTTATTTATTCATATAAAACCTCTCTTGACAGGACTCTGTCTCCAAATAGGAGCCTTGAACTATGGTCAGGCCTGGCTGTTAACAAATCTGCACACCTGTTCATTCACACGGCCTCCAAGAGCCAGACATGGGATTGAAGGCTTCACCCCACCCAAGACACTTTGAAGCCTTCAAGCTCCAGGTAGGGTTGCCACCTCATCCCTTTAAACCCGAAACTTTTTTACACAGGTTCTGTGGCTGATTAGCCACTTGTCCTCCTGAGGATTTACCCCCCCTCCCTGACCAGGCCATTTTTTGCGTTACATTAACTGACAATTGCGCAGTCATGCAACACTGCACCCAAATTAAATTTATGTCCTTTTTTTCCCACGAATAGAGTTTTCTTTCGTTGGTATTTGATCACTTGTGTGGTTTTTACTTTTTGCGCTATGAAAAAAAAAAAGAATAACAATTTTGAGAATAAAAACTATATTTTTGACTTTTTGCTATTATACATATCCAGTAAAAAAATCTAAAAAAAAAAATCAAAATTTGTCATAAATTTAGGCCAAAATATATTCTGCTACATGTCTTTGCTAAAAAAAATCAGAATCCAGGTACATTAAATGGTTTACGTGAAAGTTTTAGCGTTTACAAATGGCAGTATAGATACTGGAATATACATTTTTTTTTTTACTAGTAATGGCGGCGATCAGCAACTTATAGCAGGACTGCAGTGGGCATTCTGACGCTGGGGGGAACTGACTTGGTGTCACTGACATCCCCAGTGCCACCAGTACAGTGATCAGTGCTTTAAAAAAAGCACTGCCACTGTACTAATGGCCCTGGGCAGGAAAGGGTTAACATGAAGGGTGATCAAAGGGTTAACTGTGTGCTGGCAGTGTTTTATTAGGAGGCTGTGTCCCTGTGCTTCACTGTAAGCACACTGCTTTGGATGGCTGTGCTGTGAGTTGACAGGGAGGAGAACTGTTAGTAAAAAAAACAGTTCTCCCCGTCGGGGATCATCAGAAATCACCAGGCGCCGGCGAGTAAGCACCGGCCAGGACCCGGTGATTGACAGCCGCAGCCACGAATGGTGGCGCAGGTAGGGCTCGCACCTCCTACCCGGAAATGCAAAATCACATATATATACACATGTGATTTTGTGCACCCGTGCCACCCTGTAGCAGTATTTCGGCAGGAAGCTGTTAAGGTGATAATTAAACTCATCTAATGCCTTATGTGCATTAAATTAGCCTCAGAACCTGTGGAATTAATGTGTTTGGGTTTAAAAGGATGAGGTGGCAACTCTAATGCAGGCCATAGATGGGTCGAACACCGGCCAATTTTTCGAACGATAAACGAAAAATCGGTCGTTCGTTCAGCCGACGTTACCACCAACGATTAAAAAAATCAGCCAACTAAATCATAAAGTTCACCCCATAATTCCTGTCCTTTGCAGGTCACAGCTCATGCGCAGATTTTTTAGCGTTAAAACGATCGGCCAATTTGGCCAATCACCCAAATTGGGCGCAAATTTTCCAACATGACCGATAATCTCAAAGTGCAAAAAACCCGAAAAATGGCCAACCAATTAACCCACTAACAGTGCGAAAATCTGCTGATTTTTTTTCGGCCAAAAAAATCAACCGATTTTCGAACCGTCTATGACCGGCCTTACTCCAGGCCCTGATCTGGGATTACAAAACCCAAAGAAAGCTGAAAACATAGCTCACAATACACACAACCCTGCAAGCAGTACAAATCCTGTCTCGGTGTCATTGCCACATCCATGTTCACAGTGACAGGGCCTCATACTGTCACATCAGCTTCTGGCACTTCTTACATAGGCTTCAGTCATGTCACTGTGCCCCTCCGCTGCATCCTGGGAAAGTCAAGCACTCAAGTCCACGCAGTCATATGTCCTTTGCTAAACCAGAATACTGAATTGTGGTCAGTTTTGTTTTTCATACTTGAGTCTCCTCAGTATAGTGATGGTGATTTTGAATGAGAAGGAGCGAGAGCTACCACCAATGAATGGGAGCCTTGCCTATGTTAGCCAACAGCTCTCCTAACAGGTTCCCTTTAAATACATTTATATCAAAGGAATTGTAGATAGGCATCTATATACTGTAACATCTTGCAGCACTTTCAGTTCATTCCTTAGATACCAGTACGGGCCTTAGGTCAAGAGAAAGAAGTTGTGTGTCTACACATTCTACGTCATATTATGAAAATGAATGAGAACATAGGGACCATTGTGTTTCAGAAACTGACACCACGCTGGTACCAGTGGAATTTTGCATATATAATTGGGAAGGGTGGCACAATCAAGGTAATTGTTAAGAGAGTTCTTGCAGGCACAGTGACTGATTCATACCCCTTTGGAAAACCAGATTCGTTTTTCATATTCCAATAATTCTACTGAAAATATCAGCTGCTTTCCTGGTCTAGCTTCCGTTATCTCGATATTTATTTGTTGGTTGTTCTTGAACTTAGTCTTGACGTTCTCATGGTCAATGGATAAGCAACATTTGTCTCCCGTTTTTTGTTTGGGTACCTGACCCATGGCTAATCTTTTTCTGTATAAAAATGTCCTACAGAGCCTAGGTTAAGTCTCAGTTAGATATGTATCTTTTGGGTGATTTTTATTTTGCACATCACAAAGAAAGAAATGTTTAATTAAAACAAAACTATGCATCACATTTCTGTTAAATAAAACCTATAAAATAAAAATGTATTTGTGTGTAATCTGCTCTATAATATAATCAGAATGAATTGGATGTCTAGTTCTGTATCTTGTTTTAGTATCTTGGAGTATTCATTGTATTCAAATAATGCAATTACCGTATTTTTTTCGCTCCATAAGACGCACCTGACAATAAGACGCACCTAGATTTTAGAGGCAGAAAACAGGAAAAAAAAAATTCTGAACTAATGGACTGCAGACATAGTACAGGAGATGACCAGAGACTGCGGACAGCACAGGGATGACCAGAGACTGCGGACAGCACAGGGATGACCAGAGACTGCGGACAGCACAGGGATGACCAGAGACTGCGGACAGCACAGGGATGACCAGAGACTGCGGACACAGTACAGGAGATGACCAGAGACTGCAGACAGCACAGGGATGACCAGAGACTGCGGACAGCACAGGAGATGACCAGAGACTGCGGACACAGTACAAGAGATGACCAGAGACTGCGGACACAGTACAGGAGATGACCAGAGACTGCGGACACAGTACAGGAGATGACCAGAGACTGCGGACACAGTACAGGAGATGACCAGAGACTGCGGACACAGTACAGGAGATGACCAGAGACTGCGGACACAGTACAGGAGATGACCAGAGACTGCGGACACAGTACAGGAGATGACAAGAGACTGCGGACACAGTACAGGACTGCGGATGACCAGAGACTGAGGACAGTACAGGAGATGACTGCTGACCTTTCGGGAGGGGGGGAGCGGGTACCTGAATTTGACAGGTACCCACTCTTCCGCGGAGTTGTTCTTTGATCTTACCTGTTCCTCTATCCAGCCGCGCGCTGTCTTCCCGGCTTCTGTAGTATCGGCGCTCGGCATGACAGCCGGGTGCCCAGTGCGCATGAGCGAGAAGCACTTGCGCTTTGTGATTGGTCCGGCAGCTTCTGGGATCTGTCATGTGTCCCAGGTACCGCCTTACCATTCACAAAAAGCACTGCTTCCTGCGCATGCGCACTTGGCACCCGGCTGTCAAGCCCAGCGCCGACACTACAGAATTTGACAGGTACCCGCTCCCCACCTCCCCAAAGATCAGCAGTCATCTCCATAAGGTCCCGCTGCAGAGCTGAGCGTCTCCGGCCTGGTATTCTGACACGGCGGCGGTGGAAATACCGGACCGGCCGCACCATATGACGCACTAACATTTTCCCCCCTTTTTTGGGGGGAAAAAAGTGCGTCTTATGGAGCGAAAAATACGGTATGTCTCTATGCTATGCTTTCTGTAGGATCTTTAGCATCCAACACTTACAGGTGTGTCAGGTGCTTGGCTCCCCACTGCATGCTGTTCTTTTCTCCAGTCCTTTCATCGCTACTGTGCTCTGTAGTAACATAGGGGACAGCGGAAGGGACCACAGAATGTGTATGGGGACCAGACATTCGACACTCCAGGAAGTGTCGGATGCTGAAAATTCAAGAGAAAGAAGAACAGGTGGCAGAACAGGTAAGTATTCTTTTCTTCAAACAAAACTTTTTTTTTTTATTTAAAGAAATGTACAGTCTTTTTTTAAAGTGTTAATAAACCCATGACCTTGAATTCACTATATCTGGTCTTTCACAGTACACAGAACATGGAAATGCAATTATTTTAGTAAATATAAACTGCTAAATACCTTTTCTCATCCACAGCATATAACAGTCTTGTGAATTGTATCAGTGTCTGGCGGAGCACTGGTTAAAGCTTGTAGGAGTTTTCATTCTCTTTTGACTGTCCTATGAGGCTGCCTGACCCCTAATCCTCTACCTGGATAGTGCTAATTGTCCCTGTGCTGATCACATGCACCCTCCCAAAAAAAAACAAAAAAGAACTCCCTAGCAATACACACCAAACTGAGAATGTGCAGAGTGCCTCCTAGGGCTCTGTACTATCAGCAGATGGATTAGGGACTGTGGAAGAAGGGAAGTATCAGAGAAGACAGGATTAAACAATCTTTTTACACAATGTGGAGGATTAACCCCTTAGGTTCCACGGTGAGTATAACAAGCTTGCATTACTGCATATACAGACTGATTTTACTGTTGTGGATTTAGTAACACTTTAATATAAAATATATATTTTATATATATATATATATATATATATATATATATATATATATATATACACACTTGGTTTGAAATTACAGAAAAGTACGCAATTAATAGTGTGAAAGCTGCATGACCTTTACCATTATGTTAATGCAATAAAACACAGGCTTACTGAAAACACGCTATAGTTTTTCCTTAGTGCAGTGTTTCTCAATTCCAGTCCTCATGGACCCCCCAGCAGGTCATGTTTTCAGGATTTCCATTATTTTGCACAGGTGATTTGATCAGTTTCACTGCCTTAGTAATTACCACAGCTGTTTCATCTGAGGGAAATCCTGAAAACATGACCTGTTGGGGGTCCATGAGGACTGGAGTTGAGAAACACTGCCTTAGTGGAGCTCAAAGACCCAGTTTCTGTAACATAAACAAATAAACCAATATGAATCAGGAAGTTTTTCGTTTTTGGTTTTATTTTTATTTGTATGTATTAGGTTCCATTTTAAAATTTGTGTCCCATTGGGGAGATTTCGCTCCACTTCCTGTTCCATAGACACTTCCTATAAGTGAGAGAAAATCTCTCACCTGGCATCACCTGAATTATTGTCTCCATTGAAAGATTTTCCTCTATTTCTGTTTGGGTGAACACTCATAATTTTGGGATTTTCTTTTACTTTCTGCGATAAAAGTCTCCAGAACCAGTAGAAAAGGTGAATCTCCCTAATTGGGGGGGGGGGGGGGAATGGGGTTGGGAGAAGAGAAGATAGAGAATTGCTAAAGCAGGAGGAATGAAATTGAGGGTTGGAGGTGGAAGAAAAAAGGGGACGGCAGCATGTCAGGGATTAGGAAAGAAAGGAAGAGGGGGTAGGGGGTAGGAGATGAGTGTAGAGAACCAGAGAGTGGCAAGAATGGATCCACTGTACCACTCAAAAAAAGGTGGGGGGCAATAAGAACTCAGACATAAGAATAATTCAACTTCAGGATACGTTTAGGAGGCCTGCTCAGATAGTAATTAAAGGTTTTTAAGTTATAAAAATAAACTTGTGCAAATCAAACCTTTTTTTCTGAATCCTTAGGCTACATATAGCTAAGCTCCCTTGGACACCAAGCTCTCCTGGCCACTGAAAAACACAAAACACAGCAAAAACACCTGTAAATGCAGGACTGCGTTTAGCACTTGGGTGTTTACTCATTTCATTAGCCAGAGCACTTGCCATTGAAATAAATAAATGCCCAAGTGATAAACGCAGCTAGCGCTTACATACGTTTGGCGGACGTTTAACTACCCCTAAATACTGCTGCTGCTAAACTATGATAAAACACAAAGTTCTAGACAAGCACTAAAGCCTAAAGGTAACCTGTGTCATGAAGTCCAGTCTTTTTTATAAAAAGTGATGTTCTCAAAGGGGGTAATTATCCGGGCTTGCTACAACCTTCATTAAACCAAAATTAAAACTCAAAATATATGCACTCACAATCAATGACTTGTGCATAGCATGTCATCCTATATAATGCCGGAATACAGTTCAACCAAGTCCTCTCACCATCTCCTGGGTACAGGGGCGGACTGACCATTTGGAAACTCGGGCACTGCTCGAGGGCCTGGGGTCAGCAGGGGGCCCCATGAGAAGCCCTTGGTACCTTTTTCATAGGCTTTTTTGAGTTTGGGCAAGGACACAGGGGCCCCATGATCCCCTATTGCCCGGGGGCCCCATGAGTTGTCAGTCCGCCCCTGCCTGGGTGAAGTTCTCATGACAGTGCGAGTTGTGCGTTCTCTCACACACACTGACAGATCTCCGTGATGGAAACTCTTTTGGCAGCCAGAGAAACCACCGCTGCCCTCTCTATCACGTGGGGTGGGGAGCGAGGCGTTGATTGAATGACAATGTCATTGTATGACAACGCATTTCAGGTCCCGGCCCCAGGTACCTCCTTTTGTGTGTGTATATGTGTGTATATATATATATATATATATATATATATACATACATACACACACACTATATTGCCAAATGTATTGAGACACCACTCCAAAACACTGGATTCAGGAGTTCCAATCACCACCATGGCCACAGGTGTATGTAATCAAGCACCTAGTGTCAGGGCTCCAGGGTATGACCAGAGGTATGTGAACTGACACAGGGAAACGCAGGCTTCAGATAGTGTTAATAAATTATATTGTTTATAACATAACAATACATAAACACAGTGCAATACTAAAACATAACACAGTGCAAACGAACCAAACCAAACCACCCACAGATAATACATACAATGCAAGCGTCGTCAGGCAGGCCAGGTCAATAACAATCAGGCAGGTAGGAACAGGAGGAGCAGGCAGAGAGTAGTCAGGTCACAAGCCGGGTACAGCAACTAACGGGCAGGTAGGTACAGGGGGTCAGGCAGAGAATGGTCGGGGTCACAAGCCAGGGATCAAACAGGAGAAGTCAGCAGAGGTCCGGATCGGGCAGGGTCAGCAACGAATCAGTCAGACAGGGACAGGGACAGGGACAGGAACAGGGATGCAGGTAACAAGATACAGGGGCCCAGGAAAAACACACACCAAGGTCCAGACTGCAGGTCTGGCCATCCCTTAAATACACCTGCATAATCAGCTTCAGGTGTTTGGCTGGCTGCAGGGTTGAGTCTCTGATTGCTGAGAGCACCCGCTGGCCAGCCCTGGCACTGCAGCCCACAAGGCAGGTGAGTCCCACCATTACTGGCAAGTCCATTCCTGACACCTAGGCATGCAGACTGCTTCTACAAAACATTTGTGAAAGAATGGGTCGCTCTCAGGAGCTCAGTGAATTCAAGCTTGGTACCGTGATAGGTTGCCACCTGTGCAATAAGTCCATCCATGAAATTACTTTGCTAATAAATATTCCACGGTCAACTGTTAGTGGTATTATAGCAAATTGGAAGCAACTGGGAACAACCGCAACAGCCATGAAGTGGTGGGCCACGTAATATGACAGAGCGGGGTCAGCGCATGCTGAAGCGCACAGTGCTCAGAGGTCACCAACTGTCTGTAGAGTTAATAGCTAAAGACCTCCAAACTGCATGTGGCCTTCAGATTAGCACAACAACAGTGCATAGAGAGCTTCATGGAATGGGTTTCCATGGCTAAGCAGCTGCATCCAAGCCTTACATCACCAAGTGCAATGCAAAGCATCAAATGCAGTGGTGTAAAGTATTCTGTTACTGGACTCTAGAGCAGTGGAGAAATGTTCTCTGGAGTGACAAATCACGCTTTTCTGTCTGGCAATCTGATGGAGGTGTCTGGGTTTGGTGGTTGCCAGGAGAACATTACTTGCCTGACTGCATTGTGCCAATTGGGCATTGTGGAGGGGGATATTAATTTTACCTACAGGTAAGCTATAAGCTCCCCTAAAAGGTAAAAGTATAAAAAAATTAGTTTACCACCACTTCAAAGTCAAACTAGATTTTCCATTTAAATCAGCTAAATATGTTGAAGCTGCATCAAGACAAAAGGGGTTCAAAATCTTCCAGTTTGTCTTCTTTAGAAAGCAGCCACATCCTGAGTAGAAAAGCTTGTTCCCTGCCAGCATGCTGTAAAGAAGGGCCATTATTCTCTGTGTGGAAGCAGTGATACACTATATTGCCCAAAGTATTGGGCCACCCCTCCAAATCATTGGATTCAGGTGTTCCAATCACCTCCATGAACACAGGTGTCTAACATCAAGCACCTAGGCATGCAGACTGCTTCTACAAACATTTGTGAAAGAATAGGTTGCTCTCAGGAGCTCAGTGAATTCAAGTGTGGTACAGTGATAGGTTGCCACCTGAGCAATAAGTCCATCTGTGACATTTCCTTGTTACTAAATATTCCACAGTCAACTGTTAGTGTTATTATAACAAAGTGGAAGCAACTGGGAACAACAACTCAGCCACGAAGTGGTAGGCCACGTAAAATGACAGAGCGGGGTCAGTGCATGCTGAAGTGCACAGTGCGCAGAAGTTACCGTCTACACCAGGGGTGTCCAAACTTTTTTGGAAGAGTGCCAGATTTGATGAAGTGAACATGTGCGAGGGCCGACCATTTTGCCCGACATTCTGATGAACCATTAACATTAAATGCAAATGAACTATTTTATGCAAAAGTTTATTGAAAACGGCATACTTTTCATTTTGTGACTTGGATGACAAATCTAAACAGGTGTTAAATCACTCTGCCAGCACAGGGAGAAGGAAAGCCCAAATTCGCGAGATCTCGGAGTTCGCGAGATTTGGGCTTTGTTTCTCCTTGCACTGTCTGATGACGTCAAGCGATCCTGAGCACCAATCCATTATAGCCCAAATTGATACCGTATTTTTTCGCTCCATAAGACGCACCTGACCATAAGACGCACCTAGGTTTTAGAGGCGAAAAACAGGGAAAAAAAATTCTGAACCTGCTGACATAGTACAGGAGATGACCAGAGACTGCGGACATAGTACAGGAGATGACCAGAGACTGCGGACACAGTACAGGAGATGACCAGAGACTGCGGACACAGTACAGGGGATGACCAGAGACTGCGGACACAGTACAGGAGATGACCAGAGACTGCGGACACAGTACAGGAGATGGACAGAGACTGCGGACACAGTACAGGAGATGACCAGAGACTGCGGACACAGTACAAGAGATGACCAGAGACTGCGGACACAGTACAGGAGATGACCAGAGACTGCGGACACAGTACAGGAGATGACCAGAGACTGCGGACACAGTACAGGGATGACCAGAGACTGCGGACATAGTACAGGAGATGGAGATGAGGACCAGTAGACTGCGGACACAGTACAGGAGATGGCCAGAGACTGCGGACACAGTACAGGAGATGACCAGAGACTGAGGACACAGTACAGGGGATGACCAGAGACTGCGGACACAGTACAGGAGATGGCCAGAGACTGCGGACACAGTACAGGGGATGACCAGAGACTGCGGACACAGTACAGGAGATGACCAGAGACTGAGGACACAGTACAGGGGATGACCAGAGACTGCGGACACAGTACAGGAGATGACCAGAGACTGCGGACACAGTACAGGAGATGGCCAGAGACTGCGGACACAGTACAGGAGATGACCAGAGACTGCGGACACAGTACAGGAGATGGCCAGAGACTGCGGACACAGTACAGGGGATGACCAGAGACTGCGGACACAGTACAGGAGATGGCCAGAGACTGCGGACACAGTACAGGAGATGACCAGAGACTGCGGACACAGTACAGGGGATGACCAGAGACTGCGGACACAGTACAGGAGATGACCAGAGACTGCAGACATAGTACAGGAGATGACCAGATACTGCAGACACAGCACAGGAGATGACCAGAGACTGCAGACATGACCAGAGACTGCAGACATGGTAAATGGTAGCCCCAGTAGTAATTCCCTGCGCACCACCTGGGATCCCTCGGCCCCCACGTTCCGGACCCCACATATGAGCTGCCCAATATATAACTTACGGCCCTCCACTAGTGATTCTGCGAACGCCACTGGGGATTCCAGGGATCTGTCGAGCGGGAATTGACGTCATCAGCCGGCACACAGAGAAGGAAAGCCCAAATCTCACGAGATCTTGGACGTCGCGAGATTTGGGCTCTCTTTCCTGCGCTAGCTGATGATGTCAAGAGATCGCTGGAGTCCTCAGTAGCTTTCAGGGAATCACTACCGGGGGCCGTAAGTTATATATTTGGGTAGCTCACCTGTGGGGCCGTTTCAGTCCGGAACGCGGGCCGCAATTGGCCCGCGGGCCGGACTTTGGACATGCCTGGTCTACACAGTCAATAGCTAAAGACCTCCAAACCTTGTGTGGCATTCAGATTAGCACAACAATAGTGTGTAGAGAGCTTCATGGAATGGGTTTTCATGGCCGAGCAGCTGCATCCAAGCCTTACATCACCAAGTGCAATGCAAAGCATCTGATCAGTGGTGTAAAGCACGCCACCACTGGACTCCAGAGCAGTGGAGATGTGTCCTCTAGAATGACAAATCACACTTCTGTGTCTGGTAATCCGATGGACATGTCTGGGTTTTGGTGGTTGCTAAGAGAACGGTACTTGCCTGACTGCATTCTGCCAAGTGTAAAGTTTGGTGGAGGGGGTTTATGGTGTGGGGTTGTTTTTCAGGAGTTGGGCTTGGCCCCTTAGTTCCAGTGAAGGGAACTCTAAAGATGTCAGCATACCAAGACATTTTGGACAATTGTATTCCCCAACTTTGTGGGCATAGTTTGGGGATGGCCCCTTCCTGTTCCAACATGACTGCACACCAGTGCGCAAAGCAAGGTCCATAAAGACGTGGCTGAGCGAGTTTGGGGTGGAGGAACTTGACTGGCCTGCAAAGAGTCCTGACCTCAAGCCAATAGAACACATTTGGGATGAATTAAAGTGGAGACTGTGAGCCAGGCCTTCTTGTCCGACATCAGTGCCTGGCCTCACAAATGCACTTCTGGAAGAATGGTCAAACATTCCCATAGACACGCTCCTAAACCTTATGGTAGCCTTTGGGGAAGAAGGACCGAGTGATGATGGAAGCCATGTCAGCAGGGACAGCACACTGCTGGAGGGCTTTGTTCTAAGGTAAGTGTCACATAATGTGCAAGTATGCCATGCAGTATACAGAGAAAGTTCTGACAGCTGGAGCTGTCAAAGAAAAGCAGTCTGGCAATGTTAATCAGTAACATTACTGAAAAGAAACATTGTTTTATTTTGTATCTGTTTATTCATCTACAGATCAAAGGGATGAAGTTCCATCTGTAGATGAAGTCAGTTCATGCAACCTGATAAGTAAAAAAAGGTTTGTTTTTTTAAATGTTCCTCTTTTTTAACCCCTTATTAACCCTTAGTTTACGCTAATCAGTCCTAATTAACTCCTTATTCTCCTTCTCCATTAAATTTTTTAGTTTCTATTTTATTAACTAATACTATTTAATTTTTTTTTGTTTGTTTTAAGCTTTAATATTTTTTACACCTTTAACATATATTTACAAATTTCACATTAACTCCTTCATGCCAGCGCCTCCCAGCCCTTTAAGGATTTTCTGACTCCAGGAGGCAGGGTGGGGTTTGGGGTCATGTGACCGCTGTGATTGGCTGTCACGGCAGTCACATGATCGGAACGGTCCTGATCGCAAGGAGAAATCGGGACCTTTCTATGGGATGCTGACGCATATGCTGGGAGCGCGCAGGGCACGCATTCTCAGCACATTTCTTTACAAATGGTACACAAATATGCGGACGCTCAGTGTCATGGCCCAGCTGCTGATAGGCCACATATTTGCGTATGTTCGGCCTGAAGAGGTTAAAAAAAAACGCAAAATAGAAAAAAAGCCCAGTATATTTCATTTGTAAATCATTTTGCAATGCTTTGTACCAGAATCATAATTTTAGTGTCATTTTAAACAGGATAAATTACAGAATCAAATGTGCACTTTTTATGTACAGTAACACTATTTATTTTGAAACTAACACTGTTTAAAAGAAGAAAAAGTGTGTTTTGTTGCATTTTGTTACATTTAATGGATTCCTAAAAATAATAAAAAAATAAATAATAATAATTGTTGCAAGGCCATATTCACAAAAAGAAAGCCTTGTTTATCTTTAAAAAATATATATATATTAAATTTTTATCTTAAATAATGATAAAATTATTGCCAAATAAACAGACCTATAGCAGAAATGTAAAAATTGTTCTGGTCCATAAGGGGTGAAACAGGCGTGCGAGCCAAAGTGGATATGGACTGTTCCCATTATAATGATCACATAATTTGCGCCTTTACTCCATTATAATTGTAACACTTCAGCAGCTCCACTGCTATTAGTTCTGGCCTCTCAGACACACAGCTTCAAGCTCTACCACACACGCAGCTCTTCTTTAAAGGATATGTTCCACCCATTTTTAGGGTGGAATATGTAACACGTTCCCACTCCGAAGCTGCTTCCCTCTCCACTGGCTCTAGTGACAGCTAGTGGGGGATCTTCTCCCTCCCCATACTAGCAGTCATTATTTTTTTAAAAATTGAGGCCGAGTTCTGTGAATGGGAAACTACAAGTAATGACAGACTTTGCAGCTGTCGGCTTCAAGTTCTCAATGAACTAGCGCGGCACTGAGCACTGTGGTAGTTCATTGTCACTTCCTGTCAGTGTGTCTATGCCTGCTTGTACGAGGTACGAGCAGACAGGTACACTGACAAGTCTGCAGGAATCCTGCATGGCACCAGCGATCTGATAACAGGTGCAATGATGTCTAGGCTCCAAGTAAAAAAAATAAAATAATAAACCCACATTTTTTTTTTACCTGCAAAAAGACGTGCATTTATTTTTTTGTTTAAAAAAAAGTTAAACGTATCCTTTAATGCACACAGCAATACTGGCTCCCACCCATCTCCTAAGTTGAAGCCCTCTTCTCCGCACACAGCAATACCTCCTGCCTCCAAACATGGGAACCCAACTCTGTTCTGGCTGGAGCCCTGAACTATTCCCAGTCCTTCATTATAAGGGCTGTGTGCACCTGAACACACACCCTGCTGTTCTTCAACAAAAACCTGGACACTGGGTTAGAGATTTCTTTTTTCCAAAGGCTCTTCAAAATCTCCAAACTATGGAGCCCAATCCAGGAATACCAAAACCTGGAAAAAGTTGCAAAAATAGATTTCTTCTTCACTCAAAATCAATACTTCGTAGCCCCACACTCTGCACACGTGCAAACCCTGTGTCCTTTTTCCAACCATTTTCCCAGTGGTAGGACCTCGCACTGTCACAATATATATACACACACAAATGTTTTGCCTTTCATTTCTATTTTAAACTCTTCATGGCCACATGCAAATGTGCGGTCTCCCAGCGTCTGTGCCTTGATACAGAGCGGCCACACATTTGCATGCAATTAACAAAAGCATATGTGCTGAAAGTGTGTGCCCTGCGTGCTCCCAGCACACATGTCCGGTACTCACGGAAAGGTCCCAATCTCCTCTTTCGATCGAGACCTTTCCCAATCATGTGACCGGCGTTACAGCGAATCACGGCGGTCACATGATCTTAAAACCCCGCCTCCCGGCTTCTGAAATCCTTAAATGGCCGGGAGGCATCGGCGCCAAGGGGTTAAACTGAATGGGTTGTTTTACAAGGTAAGGGTTCACATATAAAAACATATAATAAAGATCATATCGTGAGTTCTGCTTTAAAGGCTTCCAGAAAGTGGTTTGAAGCTCATCATTTTTCCTAAAGCTGATGCTGCTAAAGATAAAACAGTATTCACGGGTTTAAAGCCTAACTGCCATTTGACAGGTCCTACTTAACCAGTTATTGCTAGATAATGCATTTTTCAACTAAAATGATAAACCTCTTTAAAAAGATGCATAAACAAGCTGTAGTGGATGGAGAGAACAAAGTAAGTGCTTTGTCCTGTGTTAATCAGTGGAGGGCAGGAAGAGATAAAATGTGTCATTATGTTTTGTCCATATCACCAGGCAATACTTCCGCACTAGCCAGTGTGCACTGAACTTTGTCACTTGCAAGAAAAAAAAAAAAAAAAGACTAGCTCTCAGTCTTATTCTTTGTGTTAAAAAAGCCCAACACTCTTAACTTTTAATTATAGCCTACTATAACAAACAGACAATAACACCAAAAGATGCATTAGCATAGTTATCCTTTTTATGGGAGGAATACAAGCAGCATGATAGTATGTGGTACAAACTCATCAATTATAAACCCTGGCCACTTAATTATATATTGACAAAGATACTGCTACCAAATTGTTAACATATGATATGCAATACAGTTTCTATATTCTCTTTTATGTCCAAGGACCATATTACGCTGCACCAGGCACACATGAATAATGACGCCTTTTTGCACAGATTTCACACTTTGGTGTAGCACTCTGGTTTTCTCCCAATCCATGTCAAATTATTATTGCAAATAGTGGAAATAAAAAATACCAGTTGAGTCGGTATGCTGTGAACTTTATATAGAGTGCTGCCATTTGTCTGTATAGTCCAACCATGTAACTAAATTCCTCTTGGTCC